TTTAACGACGTGGAATAATTGAAAAACATTGTTGCCATTTTGAAAAATTCAATGTTCAATGTGAAACTTGTAATCTTTCAATCAACATAGTGTCAATCATCCATATACATGTCACACAATTATTTCACTCGCACACTTTTCTTGCCAATATGGCTCAACATATCAACAAGTAAACATTGCAAAATAGTTAGAGTGAATTTCATTTTGTATCTTAGAAGATTNTCTGCTAGGACAGTTTGTTGCAGTCAAGCACTAGGACCCTGAGGTAATTGAGTACCACATTCGAACGCCAACTAACGTTCGAACGTCCACTTGAGTTGATTGAAGGCCAGACTGATGTGGCATGACGTGTTGCAGCAAACAAAGGAGGACTCTGAAGCACTTGAGTACCATGTTTGAACACTATTCAACGTTCAAACGTCCCTTGGAATCAGTTGAAGGACAGACTTCTGCATAGAGTGTGAAAATGAACTTTGATAGAAGACCACTTGAATGGAAAAGGTTAGGTCCCATCTAGCGTTCGAACGCTTATAAAGCAAGACCAGGATAAACATTTGAGAGTCAGACAATGTTCAAACGTCCCTGGAGCAAAACAGAAGACAACGTTCAAACGTTCTCCACAGACTGCCTGCAGAGTAGTTGATTTTCATGGGCGAAAAATACTATTCACTCATCCTCTATTATCTCCTATCCCCCCTCTCCTTCCTTGCCTATAAATACTCTCATGTTGGGAGCTTAGGGGGCATCTTTTTTTTTTCTTGTAAAATAAAGAGATTTTCTTCTTAGAAATTTTTCTTCTCTTGTTAAATATAAAGCTAGTTTGAATACATTGCTTGTTTCATTTTAGTATCAACCATGATAGAGGCTTAGACTCCCATTGTAGTTAAAGTCTTTTATTTATTTATGTTAAGTCTTTACATTTATGTTGTGACAACCATGATGGAGGCTTAGACTCCCCTTGTAGTTATACTTGCTTTTATTTACAAGTATCAAGAGAGATAGCTCATCTTTTGGTTGTGGTGGAAACCCTTCAAAAGTAACTAGCTTTCTTCTACTTTTATTGTTCATGTATTTCACTTTCATTGCTTGAGCATCCTTCTTTCTTAGAAGAGTGAAACTCTTCCACTTTTCTAGAGCTTTACCAAAGCCGTGAAGGGTGGAAAGTGATTCACTTATTTTCTATTGAAAATAAGCTCTTTGTTTAGTTTGCTTCACTTAGTAGCTCCTCTACTTAGAGGGATGAGTATCACACACTTTTCTAGCTTTGCCAAGGCCATGAAAAGTGAGTAGTTCCTCATTCACTCTTTAGTAAGAGGTGTTGAATATGTAAAGATTATTCGGAAGTTATGTTTGTGCAACTCCTTTATACTTTAATGCTTTATATTCCACTTGCTCATTGGATGATTGAATGCATCTAGCAAAGTTGAGGTACTTTGTATAACCAAAGGCTCCCTCTATGATACGGATGACTTCTGCATAGAAAGACCTGTTGGTTCAAGGCAAGCACCCCGGCTAGCTCTTTATGACAATCTTTTAATCTCCACCATTATTCCATTTTATTCAAAAGATAGACCATTTATGTCGTGGTTAGATGTCTTGTAGAAACACTTGCTTGTTTGTAGAACGATTAAGTCTTGGCACAGACAATTCTTGTAAACTTCTAGAAAGGCATCGGAATCATGTGCTTAATTCTCACAGTCCATCTTTATCTGCCGATTAACTTGCTATTGAGACGGGAGTTAATTGAGTTATAAAGTACAAACATAATAAACTGGATAATCAATTACATGTTCTGATCCTCGAACTAAAGGGTGGCTGTTACATTTTGAGAATCTTATATTTTGTTTAGAAAACTCTTGAAAAGATTCTTCTATTCTAATCAAGAAACTTCACCACTCCAAACTCTAGAAATTTTCAGTTACATGGTCTCTATTATTGCTTACTTCAAAACACCAATCATAGTTCCCTGTGGATTAGACTCCAGACTTAATCGGATTATTACTACAACTTAATCTCCTACACTTGGGTGTACACATTTCGGATCAAGTCAGTGATCTTTAGGGATTAGAGAATCACTAAATGACTCAGTCGAAGCTCCTTGACTATTAAGAACTGGACAAGGGTGATGGAGAATTGTAGACAGAGAGTTTATAGTGGTTCACCAACTCAGGAGGTCGGCTAATCCACTCTCAAGGGAGTCTCTTACTCTTAGGGAAGATTTTATTGATAAAAGAGGAAATTACACAGAGTATTAACTTAGGCTAAAATGCTTGTCCTTCATTGTGAGGGATATGTTTCTTATTTACAGTATCCTAGGACTCCATCTGATTACCCGGGATGATCATTGTCCCCTATTCGTAACGGTTGCATTTGTTATGCAGCTGCCGTGGATGGCACCTTGGCAGTTACAGTTTTCTTGCTTGAGTATGGGACAATTATGCTTTATGTATAACGCTTTGCCGGCTTCCAGCTGTCATCCTTACTGTCACCTTGGTAGCATTGTTACTAGGGAAGACTGGTCTGAGCAGCCCTAACAGCTTGCCATGAGCTGCGCGATATGAATTTAGATAAACCGAGCTGAACTTCCTAGCTCAATTTAGTCATATTTTGAGTATCATCGGAACTTCTAAATATTAAAGGTCTCATATTATGCCACAAATTTCTTAAAATGGTAACAATATAATCTGAGAAATATACGAGGTTTGGGTTTTGATCCGTACAAAAAGTGACTTTAAAATACACTGCTTTATCAAATAAATACTAAATATCTCAAGTCACTTGCATGACACGTGGGATATGAACTGCTGGAGAATTTAACGACGTGGAATAATTGAAAAACATTGTTGCCATTTTGAAAAATTCAATGTTCAATGTGAAACTTGTAATCTTTCAATCAACATAGTGTCAATCATCCATATACATGTCACACAATTATTTCACTCGCACACTTTTCTTGCCAATATGGCTCAACATATCAACAAGTAAACATTGCAAAATAGTTAGAGTGAATTTCATTTTGTATCTTAGAAGATTAAAATTTATTTTATACCCTTAAAAATTAAATTTTTTGCATTGTATCCTAAATTTATTAAAAATATTTCCACATGACTCTTCTGTTGGCTTCCGTTGCTCATTCTGTTAATGTCAATAAGATATTTTTGATGGAATAAATAGCGAAAGTTAACGGAAAGACCATATTGCATCACTTTTCATACACTAATAATGCAATATGAAAAAAATAAATTTTTGAGAGTGGAAAGATGGAATTCTTAAATCTTTTCGATGTAAAATGCGCAATCCCCTAATAGCTACATTATATATATCATATACCTTTTCTTTCCTTATGTGGCTGGTGGATCTCAATTTCTTGAATGACATATTTCTAAAAGAATTAATAGATTTTTGTTTTAATAAGTGAGACCTACCAAACGTTCTTGAATAAAAAAATGTCATGTTTGTGTGTATGTGTACTTTTTACTTTAGAAGGAAAGTCATTTATCTATAATATAAAACAAGACAGACTTTCATAAGGTTATTCGATGGTTTTAAAGAGACTTATCAAACGGCCACCAACATTCCTCTCTAAACCATTCGCATTGAACCGTACTTTCAAATATGAGTTACCCTGGTGTACAACTATTACTCACCCATTGTACCATAGTGGTAAAATGCTGACATATTTCAAAAGGAACAGTAGGGTAGGGTTTCTGACTTTTATAGCCCACTTTTGTTTTGTTTTAGGAAAAAAATTAATCCATATCATTTTTGAGCTCTCAAATATCTCTTATTTTGGTCAATACTTGCTTAACTCGAATAGTTAAGATATAGATTAATTGAAAATTCATTGCAGACTAAAGTTTGGAGGTTCATTAGAAAGGGGTCCTTTCAACAACAGAAGAGTAGATTACTTAAGGATGTTAATCTTTGGCGCACTTCTACTACTGGTAATTGATGACAACGCTCACATTGTGCACTTATTTTTTCTGTTATATGTGAATGAAAGAATATTGATAAACTAGCGATACCCCATGACTGAAGTTGTATACTAAGCTATGGCACTATGCGTATATTAAAGTGTGTGTACAACTAGAGTGTGTGTATGATGAGTGTGTTGGAGTGTGTGTAAAGCTATATATTTGCGTTGGGTTTGTGAAATTTATGGGCGAAAATATGTGATGGGTGTGTGAAATTTGAGGGGAAAATATACCTACCATAAGTTCAAAAATATAGCTATCTTTTTATATAAATATTTTGTATATAAACAATAATATTAAGCAGTGGAAAATTTACACTTCGAGCTATTTACCTATGCGCCAGTCTCATTTTTGGATCTCAACTATTTATTTTCTCACATTATTCCTATAAGTACTTGATTGGTTTCCGATTGTCCAAAATCATATATCCAATATGCTTTGAGAGTTTGACTTGGGTCCTGAATGAGGTACAGTATCCAAGTTTACTACCTTTTTGGCTCGAAATACAATTTTTTGGGTGAAGTTATAATAAAAATTATGATTGATCCCAGCATTTTAAGATCGAACGTAAAAACTATATATTTTCAGAGGTTAAGTTAATTTTTTTTTATTTTTTTTTCAACGTTTTGAGGAGAATTTTTTGCGCCCAAAAATGTTTAAACTTGACCCTTAATCAAAGTATTAAAACAATAAGAGATGGTAGTTGATGCTGTAGNTTTTTTTTCAACGTTTTGAGGAGAATTTTTTGCGCCCAAGAATGTTGAAACTTGACCCTTAATCAAAGTATTAAAACAATAAGAGATGGTAGTTGATGCTGTAGGTGATGGCAGCTATTCCATCTCTATGGTCTTCGTTCATGGGAGATTCCTTAGTTTTCATGGTTGTCTATGTTTGNGTGTAAAATGCGCAATCCCCTAATAGCTACATTATATATATCATATACCTTTTCTTTCCTTATGTGGCTGGTGGATCTCAATTTCTTGAATGACATATTTCTAAAAGAATTAATAGATTTTTGTTNAGGTGATGGCAGCTATTCCATCTCTATGGTCTTCGTTCATGGGAGATTCCTTAGTTTTCATGGTTGTCTATGTTTGGGGCAGCATGTTCCCCAACGAGCCTGTCCATATACCTCGATTTGGGGAAGTAAAGGTATGTCAACTTTTCCTTATTACAAAGACTTGTGTTATGGTTCCACACACACACTCACACATATGCAGAGTTGTCAATCCTTCATGACCCCTTTTGAGTGATCTGTCCACGCAATTATATTTGATGGTAAAGAAGGTGTACTATATAGTAAAAACTATTATTCAAACTTAGAACTTTTAATGCTTGCTAAGGAGTAGATAGTAGTGATTACCAGCCTATCTAGAAACTTATATTTATGGGAAATGTAACACAAATATTTGTCTAACGCTAGTTTTTGTGCTAACAGGGTCTCTATATTCCTTGGTGTGTGCTTGGACTAGATTACCTTCTAGGAAACCCTGTGACGCCAGACATCTTGGGGATCATTGTGGGACATGTGTATTACTTCTTTGCTGTTCTTCATCCTCTTGCTGGTGGCAAAAACATCTTCACGGCTCCACTTCAGATCCAACTCCTTTGTTGTTTATCATTGCTAGTCGTCGCCATATGTGTTGCGCACACATACCCTGCTGAAATTTACGAAAAATATGGTCGCAGATTGTGTGGTATTCAATGTCCAAGTAATAGGCCACATATGAAGCTCTCTATGTCCCTTCTACTAATCACAGCTCCCTTGCAGTGGCTGTTGCTGCTCATTTTTTTAGATGTTCCATAATGGTCGGATAAGATAAGGTAGGGTGTCGTTTCATGAATGTCTTTTCAAGTTAAGTTTTTTGTATTTTTTTCCCTTTTAAATATTTCTTTAAACAATTTTTATTTTTGATTTAGGTTTGAGGTGGTTGGGGTGTTTTGTGTGGAGTTTAGGGTTTTCTAGAATTCTGGTGAGTGGAGTGTTGTTGATGAGGAAGTGGCGAGTATGGTGTGGATGAGCTTTTTTGTGTTTATATTTATCGATAACGGTACAAAATTACAAATTCCCTTATGACTAGTATACACACATTACTTTCCCTCATGATGTTCAGCAATGAATGTAGCACACTTAAAATAAAGAAACATGCGGGAATAAAATTCAGGTTTTCCACCATATAAGTTTTATCTTGTGTTTTTACCAATGACCCCTTGCTCTGGCAAGGCTCAAACTCCTAGCCTTTTAGTGAGGTTGAAGGGATTCTTCCTTGTGAAATAACAAAAAAGGAATCACATTACAGTAGAAATTCACAAGATACAAGTTAACACCATGACACTAGAATCCAACCCATGACCTGATTCTACCATCAAGAACAAATCAAGAAAAGAAATATGCATCAAATAGAACAATGTGATTTACTTTGAGGATTCTAATATTTACTGATTTCGTTTTCACAGAAAGCTTGGTGCTACAAAATGATAGTGCGAGTCACACGAAACAAACAAAATAAGCAAATAACTTGGCATTTGAACTTGCCTAGCTGGTTTAATGTCAGGAAACATCAAGTGATCGTATCCTTCGTATTGATAATACCCTCTACTTCCTGTTTTTCGCTGTACATATAGGTTATACAAATTGTCCCTAAACTTTGCACATTTCATTTGTAAATCCTATTTCTTTTTTAAGGAAAAAAATTCATATACTGCATCAAGGACCAGACGGTTGAAGGTCTGACTAGAACACCAACAAATCGTACACAGCATTTGCTGAAAACACATAATTTGTCCTTAAAAGCATGACACATTGTTGTCATCTGTTACTGTGAACTGACATCCATGTTTTAACAACTTACTTCCTTTTATTTCGACAATGGTTTCTCCAAACAGTTGAGCAGATTTTTCAGCTAAAATCATCGCCAAATAGAAATTCTGATGCCAGCAGAGAATCATCAGCAAGTTACCGATCGAAAATTTTGATCAGCTTAGGCCAAGACTAGCAGGTAGTCAACCAAAGCTCCTTTGCAAACGATCAAGTATCTGAATGTGCAAGACGGAATTAGTACACTGGGGCCAAGGAGTTGAAACATTTTATATTCTATTTAATAGCAAAGAATATATTGCATAAGAAATTCTTATACATCCAAACAATTACCATAGAAAAAACAACAATGACCAGATATCTGGTCTTCTAAAAAGATAAGGTGCACAATTGTCTGTCTTGGAAAGAACCCTTTTATACGGAATCAGAAAGTTAAATATGGATTGAAAGTTAGACATCAAAATAGCTACTGTAAAGAGTAATATCTATACTTGAGGGACTACTTCACCCATTGCCAATCAATTTTGAGTTAGATGCTCTATCATGATATCAGAATTTGGCCTTAGATGGTAGGGAAGCTAAACTCAGCCTATTTATCTGCTTATTTTAGTTCACCTTCAATTTGTTTGTTAGTCTGTTTTACTTCAATTTGCTAGCTCACATGCAAATCTGAGTCACACCTGAGGGATGGTAAAAGGAGAACTATCCCACATCGAAAAACTAAGTAGGCCCAAGGTTAGTTCATATACCAGAGCGACCACTCCACTCTATAAAGAACGGACACTCTTGAGAATGTGATGTATCCGTGTCGTACACATGTCGGACACCGACACTCTTCGGACACGTGTCCAATACTCTTTTATCCGTGTCTATAATTAAATGATAAATTTTTAATTTCGGACAAGGGTCGGATACTTCTTTGGTGACGAATCCGACACTTCTTTAGAACGTGTCTACCACTGAACAATCGGCATATATTGAAATGTGCTTAACAAAGGTTAAATTTTGAGAACATATAATTACTAATACTAGACATATTAAAATTATACTCCAATTATAATAATAAAAACAAAAGATGCATAATAGTTTTNAAGACTAGCAGGTAGTCAACCAAAGCTCCTTTGCAAACGATCAAGTATCTGAATGTGCAAGACGGAATTAGTACACTGGGGCCAAGCAGTTGAAACATTTTATATTCTATTTAATAGCAAAGAATATATTGCATAAGAAATTCTTATACATCCAAACAATTACCATACAAAAAACAACAATGACCAGATATCTGGTCTTCTAAAAAGAAAAGGTGCACAATTGTCTGTCTTGGAAAGAACCTTTTTATACGGAATCAGAAAGTTAAATATGGATTGAAAGTTAGACATCAAAATAGCTATTGTAAAGAGTAATATCTATACTTGAGGGACTACTTCACCCATTGCCAATCAATTTTGAGTTAGATGCTCTATCATGATATCAGAATTTGGCCTTAGATGGTAGGGAAGCTAAACTCAGCCTATTTATCTGCTTATTTTAGTTCACCTTCAATTTGTTTGTTAGTCTGTTTTACTTCAATTTGCTAGCTCACATGCAAATCTGAGTCACACCTGAGGGATGGTAAAAGGAGAACTATCCCACATCGAAAAACTAAGTAGGCCCAAGGTTAGTTCATATACCAGAGCGACCACTCCACTCTATAAAGAACGGACACTCTTGAGAATGTGATGTATCCGTGTCGTACACATGTCGGACACCGACACTCTTCGGACACGTGTCCAATACTCTTTTATCCGTGTCTATAATTAAATGATAAATTTTTAATTTCGGACAAGGGTCGGATACTTCTTTGGTGACGAATCCGACACTTCTTTAGAACGTGTCTACCACTGAACAATCGGCATATATTGAAATGTGCTTAACAAAGGTTAAATTTTGAGAACATATAATTACTAATACTAGACATATTAAAATTATACTCCAATTATAATAATAAAAACAAAAGATGCATAATAGTTTTTAAAAAAAAAAAATCAAGAAAATTAAAGCAATTATTTAAATTATATATTAGGTACACATTGTCTACAAAAAAAAAAACAAATTATGATTATTGACTATAATGAAGATGTTTTAGTCTAAAAATTTACACAGATGACTAGACATTAAGTTTACTTATCATAAAATACTAAATTTTTTGAGAATTGTTTTTTTTTTTTTTTGGTCAAAATGAATTGTATATCATTATCACTATATTTGCAATAAATTATATAATATTATATATAAAATATAATTTTTTTGTAACGGGTCTATGTCCTTTTTTTAGAAATGTTGTGTCAGTGTATCTGTATCGTATCGTATCCGTGTCTCGTGTCCGTGTCCATGCTTCTTAGACTCCACTTATTGCCAATTGCCTTTGAGTGGTATGCTCTAATTACAGTAGGAAAAACAACAATGACCAGAAATCTGGTTGAATGGAGATAATGGGTGAAATTGACTAACTTGGAAAGAAAAAATTTTTCTTGTGATGTCATAAAGTTGGACATGGATTAAAATGATTATGTAAAAGAAATCTTGCCTGCCAATGTATAAATTATTGTACATGCACATGCGTATAATTACCATCGATAGCAGATAAATCACCATACTTTTGATTATACTGTTCTTTGAGGAGAAAACTATTATGAGCTAAAATTTAATTTTGTTGTGACACTATCCATATAGATGGGTAAATATATACGTGCTCATATTTCTGCTGGTTTTGGCACTAAAATTTAAACCAAATTCCAGAACGTATGTGGTCATAGAGCTTGCTTGATTCCTGGCCAAAGAAAAGGCTTACAGTCAGGGTCAGGGGCCAATCCCAAAATTCATTAGGCTTCTGAGTACATGAGGATCAGTCATGGTGTGATTTCCTCACACCAGCTTGCGAGCTTAATGGACCACCACACCTGAAGCCAGCTCCGAAAATTGTGCAAGCACAATTGTCAGTAAGCCAGTTGAGAAATAAGATGGGCAGAAGTCGGTTCAAAAACTTGGTTGAGATGCCCAAGGATCCTGACAAGACTTGGAATACATAAAAGTAGCAAGTGGGAAGCTCAACTTGCTAGAAAGGGAAGATTTGAAGAATNTGTGCTCATATTTCTGCTGGTTTTGGCACTAAAATTTAAACCAAATTCCAGACCGTATGTGGTCATAGAGCTTGCTTGATTCCTGACCAAAGAAAAGGCTTACAGTCAGGGTCAGGGGCCAATCCCAAAATTCATTAGGCTTCTGAGTACATGAGGATCAGTCATGGTGTGATTTCCTCACACCAGCTTGCGAGCTTAATGGACCACCACACCTGAAGCCAGCTCCGAAAATTGTGCAAGCACAATTGTCAGTAAGCCAGTTGAGAAATAAGATGGGCAGAAGTCAGTTCAAAAACTTGGTTGAGATGCCCAAGGATCCTGACAAGACTTGGAATACATAAAAGTAGCAAGTGGGAAGCTCAACTTGCTAGAAAGGGAAGATTTGAAGAATTGAATTCAAAAGAAGATAAAAGTCTTCAATTTGAAATAGAAAATGGGGTTCTAATGGCATATTTGTCATGTGGATGAACCAATATGAGCGACTTTAGATCCTAAACGGAAGGTCAATTGAGTTTTGGTCTACAAGGGGGAACAATAAGGNTAGAAAATGGGGTTCTAATGGCATATTTGTCATGTGGATGAACCAATATGAGTGATTTTAGATCCTAAACGGAAGGTCAATTGAGTTTTGGTCTACAAGGGGGAACAATAAGGTTTATTTGTGTTATTATTTATTTAATTAAGAAATAATTGTTTGACTAGGAATATCCTAATATTTTTAGTAGATAGAGTTTTATTATGCAATTAACTTAGGTTTTGTTGGAAGCCTAGATTATAAACAATGGCATAATCATATTCTTCAACAGAAAGTGAGGTCTATCGAGAATTTTGTTGATTGTTAGTGTCTTTTGCGAAGGGGAAGTAAATCTTTTCTTCCTTCCCATTCTTCATCAAATTGCTATTAGAGCTTAACTTTGAGCAAACACATATCACTGCTAACTCACCGCCATTGTTGGTGTCATTGTCGTGTTCGAAAGCACTGAGCCAAAAAGCAATTTGGTCAGGTGTGGGAGATGAAAGGCGAGATTATGTAGACTAGGAGACTGTGTGAATAATGGAGTTGAAAAGGACTTGGGCCTTGATAATTTGGTCTCTAAAATCATTTCCCTTGTAGGTAAATGGAGGGAAATGGTCATGGTGATTCATGCTAGAACCTAAATCCCTTTGGCACAAGGAAATTTAGAGTACTAGGATTCATTCAAAGAAATAGTGTATTTTTCTTAATTTGATTTGTTATAAAGTTGGATATAGTTCTACAAGTTCATTTTGGGAGGATATTTGGGTACAACTTTCATCATTTAATATTGTTTTTCCACTTTTTTTACCAACTTTCCTCACTCCAAGAGACTCCTATCTCCAGTTTATCAATTCTAGGGATTTCCACCTCTTTGGGCATCTCAATGATAGAGAAATAGCAGATTTAGCTTATTTGTTTGACACTCGTCAGTTTTTAATTCTTCTTGTTCTCATGCATGACTGTAAACTTTGGACTGCAGATAAGTTCGATAATTTCTCTTTTAGATCCTTTTGTTCATACCTCACAAGCTCCCAAAATGCTGAGTCTTTGTCTCTACATAAACTCATTTAGAAAGCACAAGTTCCTTTAAAAGTCAAAAGTCCAGTCTTTGTCTGATATATTGTCCTTAACAGGATGAACACAAAAATTTATTTTACTAGTCTGAGAAGTGGAGAGTTGAAAGTTCATTTATTCATTCATAGTTCCTTTGAGTGTGGTTTATGGAATAGTTTGTTCAAGTGATTGAACAAGTTGTTGTAGATGAAATTCTATGTTTTTAGGAAGAATAAGGATCCTAAGTCTCTGCAGTTGCAAGTCGTCCTTCCACTGAGACAATCCTATTTTTTCTTGTGTCCATTGCATCACAAATGATGAAGAAGTTGGAATAAGAGAATGGCACCTAGCCACTTGGAATTGTTTATTGATGGCAATACTTCGGTCTCTTTGGTTTTATCGTGTCCAAAAGCCAATAAAATAATATAAGACTAAAGTGAAAGGGAACTTTCATAACGTTAACTATAAAAATATAATGACCAGTGAGAAAATCATTTCTATTGGATCCAAAATAACATAATGGAGAAAGTGAGTATGAACCCATTGAGCTTAAAACCCCAAAAACGCTAAAGTACAACTCACCAGAAGTGGATACTGTAAAATCCATCCAAACACTGGAATCTGAAAAAGACACGCCTTGACAGATGGCCAGAAACCACTACAAAAAAAAAAAAAAAAAAAACAAAAAAAATNCCCATTGAGCATAAAACCCCAAAAACGTTAAAGTACAACTCACCAGAAGTGGATACTGTAAAATCCATCCAAAAACTGGAATCTGAAAAAGACACACCTTGACAGATGGCCAGAAACCACTACAAAAAAAAAAAAAAGACAAAACTAAGAAAATTTAAGAACTTGGGATAGGAAAACTACATCAAGTTAGCAATGCAGACAAGAAACAAACCCGAAGAGAAAAACACAGCCACATAATTCCAAGATTATACCCACGACTGGCCAACGAACAAATAACAAGAAGAGTCCAAGAAGAAAAGACAAAGAACCCTGCAGTGGAAGATAGAATATTAAGATTGCATCTTTTTGCATCCCAAACAGTTCTCGCATTCAAAAATTCAAGAAGGAGCCAGCAGGTTTGAATTTCCTCTAAATAAATCTACAAAATTAGTTTAATTAGAGACAAGCACAGCCAATACAAGCAAAGTCATGGATAAGTATGTACATCAACCATGAAATTATGGCAATAGCCAACCAACCAAAAGCAGGTACATCAGTAATGTAGGGAAAAAATAGGGGATGAGTACACTAATGTTAAGAGAGAGATGCAAAAATAGTAACTACCAGCGAAAAAAACAGCCTTAAGTTACTCCAAATGACCTTCCCCAGAGGATGTTAACGAAAAAATAAGAGTTATAAACAAAATTCATCAAGATTGCAATTCGCAAGCAGGAGATATCTTTCAAAACAATACTCATATTACGAATACATAACATGCTTTTCATTTGCAATACCTTGTAGTTTGTTCTGTCAGTGAAAAGTTGCAATGTGGAACGCCAACCTAGTAACAGGGCCACCCCTGCCAACCAAAGTATCTGATGACAAAAGCGCAAAATAAGACCATGTTATGGATGTTCTGCAGTGACAAAGTATGCTAAAAAACAATTAATTTGATGGCCTTACATTTCCCAGAGCAAGCAGACCCCTATCAAAGAAAANCGCAAAATAAGACCATGTTATGGATGTTCTGCAGTGACAGAGTATGCTAAAAACACAATTAATTTGATGGCCTTACATTTCCCAGAGCAAGCAGACCCCTATCAAAGAAAAGGAGAACACCGAGAAATGTGAAAAAGATACCAAAACCGATGAGACCCAGCCCAATCTCTGAAAGTTTGAACCAATAATTCAGATGTTAAAAGCAACCTATATTGTGAATAAAATGAATAAAATTTAAGCATCAGAACACTGACCGACATGAATGCAGTCCGTCATAAAATGGAATCAGCAACTACACTTATTGCCTTAATATCATAATACTAAAAAGATTTGTCGAACTATTTCCTTAACCTCTGTCAGTTTACTAACATAATGCAGAACATATAGTCATGACTTAGACATGCCCTTAGACAGGATTACTCCATTGTAACTTGGGTATCATAGTTTCGAGTGGCAAAAACATCCTCTTTACATCCAAGGATAAGACTACATATATTTGACCTTCTCAAGATCCTGTAATGGCAGTAAAGCTATGCAATTGGTTATCTTTTTTATGCCCACTCATTCTTGAAACCATTAGCCCCAGCTAGTGAGAAAACAAAGTTGAAAACTAAGGACTGGGAAACTTGACATTCTATTGTTGTGGCCTTTCATTTCACAACATGACAGTTCCCGAAAATACTTTCGAGGTGCAAATTACATCGACTTCCCCCGAGTTCAAGAGTTCTAAACTTGCTTCCTTTGTATTTCCAAAGTGAGAAAGAGGAGAATACGAGTGGAAGGTGTTACCTCGCGCCATAAAATAACCATTTTATCTCTATATTTGAGTTGAATTAAGAATGTAAAAAAGTCAAACATTTTGTGCAATGATCCTTTGTCAAGTAGATTAACTTATTTTATTGGGTAGAAAAGAAAGTTGAGGATATTTGAAGATACAAAGGAAATGATGGAAGGGTTGTGGGATCCGTTCTATTTATTTTGGGTTTCAATGACAAAAAAATTTGAGAATATCCATCTCTTTTGTATTTCAGTGAGTTGGACAACATCGTGTGGAAGTTAGGGTGAGTTTTTGGAAGTTGATATGCTATGTACTTCTTGTTTAAGTTTAAGAATGCTTTTAGTTGGATGACTTGTCTCCCTTAGCTNGCAGTCCGTCATAAAATGGAATCAGCAACTACACTTATTGCCTTAATATCATAATACTAAAAAGATTTGTCGAACTATTTCCTTAACCTCTGTCAGTTTACTAACATAATGCAGAACATATAGTCATGACTTAGACATGCCCTTAGACAGGATTACTCCATTGTAACTTGGGTATCATAGTTTCGAGTGGCAAAAACATCCTCTTTACATCCAAGGATAAGACTACATATATTTGACCTTCTCAAGATCCTGTAATGGCAGTAAAACTATGCAATTGGTTATCTTTTTTATGCCCACTCATTCTTGAAACCATTAGCCCCAGCTAGTGAGAAAACAAAGTTGAAAACTAAGGACTGGGAAACTTGACATTCTATTGTTGTGGCCTTTCATTTCACAACATGACAGTTCCCGAAAATACTTTCGAGGTGCAAATTACATCGACTTCCCCCGAGTTCAAGAGTTCTAAACTTGCTTCCTTTGTATTTCCAAAGTGAGAAAGAGGAGAATACGAGTGGAAGGTGTTACCTCGCGCCATAAAATAACCATTTTATCTCTATATTTGAGTTGAATTAAGAATGTAAAAAAGTCAAACATTTTGTGCAATGATCCTTTGTCAAGTAGATTAACTTATTTTATTGGGTAGAAAAGAAAGTTGAGGATATTTGAAGATACAAAGGAAATGATGGAAGGGTTGTGGGATCCGTTCTATTTATTTTGGGCTTCAATGACAAAAAAATTTGAGAATATCCATCTCTTTTGTATTTCAGTGAGTTGGACAACATCGTGTGGAAGTTAGGGTGAGTTTTTGGAAGTTGATATGCTATGTACTTCTTGTTTAAGTTTAAGAATGCTTTTAGTTGGATGACTTGTCTCCCTTAGCTCGGATAATGTAAGACTTCCTATTTTTGAGTAAAAAAATTATGCTTCTCATCAAAAAAATAAAATCAGACTTCGTTTAGAGAGCTTAGAATCGGTAAATTACATAAGAGATAAGAGGGAATAAAAGTCAGGGAATGAAGGGGAAGCCTTATTGCCTTGTTACAAAACCTTCAAACCCAAAAATTTTAAAAAAAAAAAAAGAAAAAGAAGGGATTTTTGTGTTTATGCACATAGAAGGAAGATCCATGCCATAGTGTGGGCAGGGGCATGATCCTTTTGAAGGTAACCCGNGAAGGGATTTTTGTGTCTATGCACATGGAAGGAAGATCCATGCCATAGTGTGGGCAGGGGCATGATCCTTTTGAAGGGAACCCGAAGCCTCCCAACTAACCCTACTCATGCTTTCATGAAGCAAGCTTTGGCAAAGAGGAGTGCACACACAATAGAGAAAGGCAAAGATATGTGTCTGTGAGTGTTTATGTGTGTGCTGGAACAGAATGCTCACTCTTCTGCTCATTTATTTCATAAGCCATTTTGCTAAAACACTAGAAAAAGCCCGTTGTTGATCCCAATTTCAAAAGCACCTGCCAACAAACTGCAATGAGTAGAAGAATGTCAAGTAATAACAAGCAAATGACATCAAAAAGGAAATTCATTCTGAAGCGGATTAATGGACACTAAAATCTGTACTGAACTAGATTATGTCATTTGCCACTAGCACATCACCTCCTTGTGGTTTAAGCCACCAGCAAATCACTTGAGGTTTAAAAATGGCACATAACCCTTGTAGTTGTTCGACTAAAATGCACAGTTACATTTTTCATCCATTCTAATGATTCGTATATCTCACGCACCTGTAATGCAATTTGGTATGAAAATAGCATGCCAAAAAGACGAAAAAAACCCTCAACACCTGTCTCTCTTCATCTGCTTCGTTGTCTCTGTAAGTCTACTTCCCTCTCTCTCATACACAAACACACACGGGCATCTCATCTCATAGTAACAGCCACAATCACCCACCTCCGTATGACGATCACCTGTTATGCAATTAGGAACGTTTGGTAACTTTTTTATTTTCGTATTTTTAAAATACAAAAAGTAGAGATAATTTTTGTTTTGTTTTCTGGTAAACACTGAAAATATAGAACATGTCTGGGTGCCGAGATAACCCTCCAACAATTTCCTAAACTAATTAAGTCCAGTATTGTTACTCAAGGCCAAAACCAACTCTAACCCTATCTGCTACTGGAATCCGAAATCACATAAACACACCCAAAAATCACTCTCTCTCTCTCTCTCACACACACAGAGAAAGCACACACGCACACACCCAGAAACCACACACACACAGAAATCATACACAGAGACATACAGAAATTTGACACACACAAAGACCCAGAAATCACACACACACATCATTGTAGATCTACACACCCACAGCGATGGAGGCAGCGATGGCAAGAGGGAGAGGCAGCGATGGTTCGTCTCACGTCTTATCTGATACAGAGAAAGTAGAGAGAAGAGGAGAGGGAGTGAGGCGATCAAGAGTACAGAGACGTGATGAAGTGGGCTTTTATATTGCAATAAAAAAAGCTGTGTCCGGTGCCAAGAACATTCGAAACCTGAATCTCATTAATTCTCCCGGTTGTTGTTTCAGTTTCCCTCGTTTCCAGGAAGTAGTCAGATCGAGTCGTAGTACTCGATCTCCGGTGATAGGTGATGAATGGAGAAGTCCGGTGATAGGTGATGAATGGAGAAGCCAATCAACGCAAGAGGTTGAATTTAATGCTTAGTTTTCTATTCTAACTCTTTTTTTTTTCCCTTATTTTTGAGCTTTGTGTTCAAAATAACTTATTTTATATAAAATAAAGACGTAAACTCTTAACACTTTTTTTTTTTATTTTTCTCAAAAACTGAAATAAAAATACAAAATACGAAATAAAAACACAGACCAAACGTGCACTATTTCTCTCTCTCTCTCTCTCTCTCTCTCTCTCTCTCTCACACACACTCGTGCACAAACACACTGGCATCTCATCTTATAGTAACAACCACGATCACCCACCTCCTTATGACGAAACGAAACAACGATAATCTATCGCTGACTTTTTCCCACCTTGATCAACCTTCACCGCCCACCTCCACTTTTCATCCACAATCCAAACCACTTACCTCCTTTTCCACTATTTAACCACTCCCCCCCTCCTTTTCCACCAATTAACCACCCCCTCCTCTTCTCCCTTCTCAACATAAGCATCAAGTATTGAACGAAGAATGGTCACAAACTGAGTCCGTTACAGTGCGTCCATTCACGTACCGTTATCGCTAAGATTTTGATTTTTATTCACTATAAATTCCTTTTTCTCTGATTTTTAATCTGATTTGATTCTAATTTTATATTTTTCTTTCAATTTTGATTTCCTATTTTGTTTAGATTCTAATTTTTTATTGTGATTTCAACTTGACGTTTTATTCAAGTTTCGATTTTTGGTGAGGAAAACTAGAGTTGAGATGTTGGGATAGAAAATTTGAGCTATGTTGAAGTTGTGTGGTTAAGATGTGGTGAGTTGCCATAGATGATGGCACATAGAATGCTAGAGTTAGAGAGGGCTGGGCTAATAGATTTAATGTTGATTGTGGTGATGACTTGGTTGTCGGAGTTATTTTGGGATTTTATTGTTTTTTAAATTAAAAAATAAATTGATGGGTATAAAGGTTGTGTGTAATAGCTAACAGAGTCAAGTGTGCATTTTGGTCTAATAACTACAAGCATATGTGCAATTTTGGAACTTTAGTTAAGGGGCGATGTGCAAATGGGTTAAGAGTAAAGTTTGCCTTAGTTTTATCCATAGCTGGCTAGTTCACAGAAGAGGAGATTGACAGATAAAGTGCATAGGACACGTGTTGGTGTCCAATGGTGCCACCCACATGTGGTTGGCCTAGAAATGGCACTCACTCCTTCCCCTCTCTCCTTCTATATTCATCCTTGGGTTCTGATGTGGCTTCCATTTCAAAACCTTTATGAACATCTTCAAGTAGAAATCAATTATGTACTTTCAAAAACATAACAATCGTAATTTTGCATAGGCAATGGAGAGACTCTTACCAATGTTTCCTGTTGAAAACATAGTTTTGATTTTAAAGTTTATAAAGCCTAAGAGGATGACAAAATGGTTCTAAGACTTTGAGGTGAAAATGGCATTACAAGGGAGGGGAGCTAGAAATAGGAGGAAAAAAAGAGTCAACTAATTTCACTGTGACGTTGTACCTAGACGAGAAAACAAAGTCCAACCACTTAAACTTTCAATGCCTTATGTTGGTTGTATGGTGTTCCAAAAATTGTAAAATCACTTATTAAAATTTCTTATTTGAACCATGTAAAGAGTTACACAGAAAGGAGTTACACGTAACTTTTTGTCAAACTAATATAAATACTAGCCCGGTTGTAGAACTGGAACGGTTATTGAACTTGATGTAGATCAAGGCTAGTATTTGACAATATATCCTTAAGATAGATTTTGCCCTCACACATAGTGCTTATGGAATACCGAGCGTCTGCCTCCCAAGAAATAATGATTTTTACACGAGTAAAATTAACACTCCAATCTACTTGTTCAAGGACCCAAAAATTGTGTTGTGTACTCTCCAAATGCACTGTCTTAATGCCGAAATGCAGGCTGCAATGCTCTAATGTTTGTCTTAATGCCAAAAATAGACTGAACAATGAATTCAATTTAGAATGGTAATGAGATTGGATATTTATAGACATTTTGATTGTGACGTCCCTAAAACCGGGGTTATTTATCAACCGTTGATAATTCATCAACTCGCAAAAATACCTATGATTATTGCATAATTGACATTGCATCAATAGCCTTCCCTTAGCCAGGATCACAAACAACACATGCAACCCATGTACATTTTATCACTTGACCTTAACCAAGGTCCAAAATACCTCAATTTATTCTCCATTATGGTATATTTACATCATTTAATTAAAAAGACACATAGCCCAAAAGAATGGCAAAGCATTCTTAATAATTTCAGATTTTTGGAAAACCTTTTGGAAGGTTTAAGTAGACCTTCTGGAAGGTTTTGCCCACTGAAAAATTTCTTCTGGAAGATTTTTCATAAAACTTCCAAAAGATTGACCTTCTGGAAGGTTTCCTCATCCTTCCGGAAGATCGAGCATACTGGAATCCTATCTTTAAGAAAGATATGTCGACCTTCCGGAAGGTGTGTTCAACCTTCTGCAAGAAGTTACACACTAGATTCCCTCATTTTAGAAAAATGTGAAGACCTTCCAAAATGTTAAAATCGACTTTTCGAAAGGTTTCACCCACTATTCAACAATTTTTCCTTGTCTTTGTCCAAACATTCCGGAAAGTTTTGCCCAGAATTGTCTGTTCACCTGTTTTTCATTTTTAATTCATTCCAAACCTTCCCACAAACATGTAAAATACAGTTTTTCACATTAGACTTGATCCATGCTAGTTCTATTACATACAATTCCACATATTTACACATCAAAATGGGATTTTCATAAAAACTTTACAAAATGAACTATAAAAGCCATAAATCAGCTTTCTTCATCCTTGAGGCTTGAAATGGGGGCCGTCTGTCAGTATGAACCCTGTACCTGAAATATTTTTCCATGAAAGGTAAGCGTAGAGTATCTCCTAGATAAGCTACTCCTCAACCTAAATGCATATGAAATGTTCGCATGCTAACAATCCACAATTTCATAACATTCCGAGCAAGAATATGCCTCTAATGTTGGAATTTAAGATGTCATGTCATGGAATGAGATGAGACTCACTTATGCACATCAAGCCGAGCCTTTCCCAACTCCTCGACACATGCAAGTGCTAATGTGCGTGAATTTGTCATTTATGTTGCACATCAAATGACATTCACTAATCTAGGGTCTTTGTAAGGGTGGATGTTAATGGACTCACACCAAGGATCACCCAATCCACACGGAATTCACAGACTTCCACCGAGGGTTCCGCATACACCCACACACTTTATGGATTGAACCAAGGGAGTGCATATCCCATCACCGGGCCTTGCACCCTAGAGATCGTCTAACCCTTCTTGCTAACCCCAACCCTAATCACCATGTAATCCATGAGACTCGGCCAGGTCTTCGACCAAGCTTACTCGAGCACACCAGTCATCCACTGAGCATGGTGTTGACAAACAACCATGCACACACATGCAATGTAGTGCGATATCCTTGTGCATATGCATTGTGATGCCTCATTTCAACAACAATACGATGCTCAATATGCTATGGATGACATATGAACAATCTCAATATATACTATGGATAATTTCATTCTAAACATATAATTTTCATAATCCATCAATTCAAATATATCACAAGCATGTGTATATACATCAACTATTTTCACCACACCACTTCCAAGCATGTTATCACACAATCATGTTATCAACACTTTGAATTCATTAGCGCATAATGTAAACACATAGCATGCCCACATATCACACTTCTCAAAAAAATTTCACT